TCTGTACTATATAAATGTATAATAATTAGGGATGTACCGATACCTATACTAGTATCGGTGCCGATGGCGAGTACTCGTACTCGCCCAAATGCTTCGATGCCTAGCCCAATACTTCCGGTACCAGAAAGCCGGGCAACGAGTCATTACACTCTGCCTGGCTTCCTGAATGGGACGTCCGGCATTCGGTATCGGCGAGTACAGGAAACAAATATCGGTACTCGATACCAAAAAAACGGTATTGGTGCATCCCCTAATGATGATGATAATAATAATAGTGTGTGTGACTGTGGGGGGACATTAGAGTGTAAGCTCCTCTGTACAGAGACTGATGTGACTGGCTCAGTGGTCTCTGTACAGCATTAAGGTATATGTTCTCTGTACAGTGCTCCCCTGGGGTAGAGTGATGTAAATATGTATGACTTTGAGAAATACATTTGAGTAGTATATTGCATAGCGAAGTAATTTGTTTTCCAAGTGGTTATTACCTTTTTGTTTTATTTCCTGATGCAAAGACTCTTGAAGTATCTACTGTGTCCAGTTAGCAAATCTTACTTCTCCCATCCATGGCACTCAAAGTCAGAACCAGCACCACAGGGCGCAGGACTTACTACAAGAGTCTGTAGAGACATACCGGAATACTATGGGTGGAATGTATCAATACTGGAGCAGTTGCCCATGGCAGCCAATCGGCTCCTCTCTTCACCTTGTTCAGTTAAGCTTTGTAAATGAAAGAGAGAAGCTGATTGGTTACTATGGGAAACGGCTTCAGTTTTGATCAATGTGTTTGTGCATCTTACCCCCTCACATGGAGATACGACCGGCTGTGAGGAATGTCTTTGTGTCCAGTTTGTTCTCTGTGGTCAGTCTGTTTTTTCTTTTTCTCGCTCATCCAGAAAGCGGTGGAGGAAGAAATGGAATCGTTACAGTCCCGGGTAGAGTCTATACAACATGTGCTCTCCGATCTTAAGATCCAGCTCTACGCCAAGTTTGGAAACAACATCAACCTGGATGCGGATGACAGCTAAATCAGTGCAATGCAGCATAGATTTATTTTTCTTTTTTCTAAATTTTTCTTTTTATTTAATTGATTGCACATTATAAATATGAGGCCAGATTGCTTGAACTCCCCTGATGAGGAATTGGTTTTTGCAGCCATTGTGATCCCCTAAGAACCATTGTCAAAGGGCAGTTCATCCTTGTGGACTGGGTACGCTTTCATGCAGCCACACATTAGAATGTGATTGTACATCTCCTTATAGACACAATAATATTTGTACATGGTCCTATTCGAACGTTGTATTTTATATCTCAGCAGGTAGGCTTCACCACTACACAGATGTTGATACTCTATGTGAGATTGTACAGCCAGGTTGTAATGTTTGAGGACAGCCTAGAAAGTGAGGTAGAAAGTGAGTATGTCTTTCTTCTATCTTAAAGAGACCCTGTCAGCCTCTTAAAAAAATCATAGTTGAGGTTCCCTGCCATAGAAGAGGTATTATATGCACCATTCTGGTGGTCCGTGTCTCTTTATTTTTCTCTGCACAGTGCATCCTCCGTAAGACCCTTCAGCATTTTACACTTCTAGGAGTGCTGTATGTCTGCGGAAGCCCGTCAGGCTCCCACCGGTCTCGGGCCGGGGTCAGGCTCCCACCGGTCTCGGCAATGGACTCTAGGCGTGTCCCTTTCTCCAACCCCTTCATTACCACAGGACAGGATAGAGGAAGGCATCATGGCACGTGGTGGGAGACGCAGACATCCTACACTCCTGGAAGTGTCAAATGCTGAAGAGTCTTAAGGAGGATGTAGCACTGCAGCATAGATCTGAGACAGAGGGTAGTATTATACCTCTTCTATGGCAGGGAGCCTTTTCTGCTCTTCAGCAGCTTTTTCTGTTTGCGATCTCTAGGAATCATTTCAGTACGGCTCACTCAGTGAATTTTAGCCGAATCCTTCACCTTAATGTCATTGATTCCCCCTGAATGGATACGCTAAATTGTAGTTCCATAAGTGTGAGGTTACTGGTATAGAAGATCTGTAGATCACATGGAGTGGAGTCATGGTCAGGATTGGACGGTGCTCTCTCTCTTTGTTCTATTCTTATCATTATAACCCAAAACCTGACACGGGCCGTATGTAAACCTTGCCTGACACGTTGCATTCTGAGAACACGGCCTGTAGCATTCACCCCGGTAAATGTATTGTGTAAGTGCAAAATAAAACAGCATTCTGCCTTTCAGATCTTTCTTCTGTCATTTCTTTTTTTCCTCCTACAGTTTCGGAAATAGAATTTCATAAAATAACAAAACTTCTTAGTGTTATGCAATTTTAATGTCTCGAAGACCGCTGTGCTTTCTGAAGAAGTGCTTTGGGCGTGTGTTAACATTTTAATGCCTTGTTTGCAGTTCTAAATTTCGGGCCTCCTGACATGCCAGCCAAGTAATAAACCCGTGAAATGAAAAGGCTGTTTTGTGCTGTATTGTTTCTGGAAAATAAAACAAAAATGTTCTTTAAAAGTCTGGGCCTTTCTAGACATTGTTCATGGCAAAGCTTTTATCATGCATTAATAGGCATTGTGAGGCAACTCAGAAACTCTGCATTGAGAAATAAAAATGCATTGCACAGCATTGGGGAAACAAATTCCAGCATGTCACTTTTTTGGTGCATGAATGTCTGGATGGAATAAAAAAAAAATCTAAAAAAATCTTGCCGGGGTCGGTCTCGGGCCGGGGTCAGACTCCCACCGGTCTCGGGCCGGGGTCAGGCTCCCACCGGTCTCGGGCCGGGGTCAGGCTCCCACCGGTCTCGGCAATGGACTCTAGGCGTGTCCCTTTCTCCAACCCCTTCATTACCATCGGGGTCGGACCGCCGCCAGGTTCAGACTCCCACCGGTCTCTGGCCGGGGTCGGACTCCCGCCAGGGTCAGACTCCCACCGGGGTCGGACTCCCGCCAGGTTCAGACTCCCACCGGTCTCTGGCCGGGGTCGGACTCCCGTCGGACTTCACTCAGGAGAATTAAGCACTTGACTGGAGTTGCCCTTTAACATATAAAGCCGTTTCCATCTCCTATAGCGCTGGCCTATTGCCGGTGACAGTCATTATGTACACTCTGCAAAGCAACATAAACATTGTAGACGTACTACAAAAACTACACGTTACCCCTTCACATTTTTATCTGAAAGCGGCGAGTTCTATAACCGGCGTGACCAATTCCCCGGCTTGATATTTTTTCTTTATTTCCTCGGAGTGCCATTCCGTTCTCACACATTACCTCCATTACAGCAACATAATCTACATTTAAATATGACATTTCTGGGGGGAAACGCATCCGATTTTATTTTATGTATTTGTTTTGTGATTACATTGGTTCTGACACCGGAGGCCCCCGGGCTAGAAGGCGCCGAAATACCCAGTGTAGATAATTGACTGAGTGCATAAGCTGAGTGCGCGGCACGTCGGGAACCGTCAGCGTGAAATTGTTTAAAGGGAGGAGGTAGAATCAAACCCTTGTGTAAGAGCCTCTCGGATCTGCGCCTGGAGGAAGCCCGGGGCGCTTCCATTCCTCCCGCATTCTATTTAGATTCGGGAAAATCACTGGCGGGCGCAGCCTTCTCTTTCTTAATGTCGCTGCTCTCTGCCATATTGTGATAAGTATTTTTTTTTTTGTACAGATCCCAGGCTTAGACCTTTTGTTTATACTGTGGACACTTTACAATCGGTGTGTGCGTTTAGCTTCCAATGGGCGCCGCTCCAGCAAAGTTCTGTTGCTGTACTTTCTAATTGTATCACTGAAATAGTTCAGTATTTGGCAGGAAGTTGTGGCTTTTTAGCAACATAGAGAAATAGCTGTTTTATAAAAGGTAAAAATTAAAAAATAAATCTATATTTCTATATTGAATTTCTATAAGTTCTATCCCACGCCTAATAACCAGATCCATCTAGAGGTTGGTAAGCTGAAGATGCCCATAGGATGTTCTTCCTCAATGCACTGACACCATTTCACTCAGCCCTGTGAATATGCACCACTCTCACAGAGCCAGCCCGCCCGCCCTGTGAATATGCACCACTCTCACAGAGCCAGCCCGCCCGCCCTGTGAATATGCACCACTCTCACAGAGCCAGCCCGCCCGCCCTGTGAATATGCACCACTCTCACAGAGCCAGCCCGCCCGCCCTGTGAATATGCACCACTCTCACAGAGCCAGCCCGCCCGCCCTGTGAATATGCACCACTCTCACAGAGCCAGCCCGCCCGCCCTGTGAATATGCACCACTCTCACAGAGCCAGCCCGCCCGCCCTGTGAATATGCACCACTCTCACAGAGCCAGCCCGCCCGCCCTGTGAATATGCACCACTCTCACAGAGCCAGCCCGCCCGCCCTGTGAATATGCACCACTCTCACAGAGCCAGCCCGCCCGCCCTGTGAATATGCACCACTCTCACAGAGCCAGCCCGCCCGCCCTGTGAATATGCACCACTCTCACAGAGCCAGCCCGCCCGCCCTGTGAATATGCACCACTCTCACAGAGCCAGCCCGCCCGCCCTGTGAATATGCACCACTCTCACAGAGCCAGCCCGCCCGCCCTGTGAATATGCACCACTCTCACAGAGCCAGCCCGCCCGCCCTGTGAATATGCACCACTCTCACAGAGCCAGCCCGCCCGCCCTGTGAATATGCACCACTCTCACAGAGCCAGCCCGCCCGCCCTGTGAATATGCACCACTCTCACAGAGCCAGCCCGCCCGCCCTGTGAATATGCACCACTCTCACAGAGCCAGCCCGCCCGCCCTGTGAATATGCACCACTCTCACAGAGCCAGCCCGCCCGCCCTGTGAATATGCACCACTCTCACAGAGCCAGCCCGCCCGCCCTGTGAATATGCACCACTCTCACAGAGCCAGCCCGCCCGCCCTGTGAATATGCACCACTCTCACAGAGCCAGCCCGCCCGCCCTGTGAATATGCACCACTCTCACAGAGCCAGCCCGCCCGCCCTGTGAATATGCACCACTCCCACAGAGCCCGCCTTCTCAACTACAGCTCAACATCCAAACAATGTAACATCATTATTGCTTCCTGGATGCAATGCATGATTGGATATGGAGTCTAGAGCAGCGTTTCTCAACCTTTTTTCAGTCATGGCACCCTTTAGAAGTATGCAAAATCTCAAGGCACCTCAGTTTATATTGTAAAAAAACAACATGAGGCAACTCCAAAATCCAAACCAGACCGTTATACCAGATAGGGGTCTGGTATAGATTTTAAGGGGGAATCTCATGCAAAAAGACACAAAAAAATAGGGTTCCCCCTTCACACCGAGGTCCCTTTTACATCAGGAGCCCCCATTTACATTAGAAGCCACTTTCATATCAGAAGCCTTCTCCTTTGACAGAGACCCCTATATCACACTACAAGCCCCCTTGTACAAGTGAACCCCCTTTCTTTCACATCAGAAGCTCCCCCCCTTCATATCAGCTTTTTCCGCCTTCACATCACAGCCCCCTATTACATCAGAAGCTTCGTATCAGCTCCCTCCCTTCTTCACATCAGAGCTGCCTTTTTTTCACATCAGAAGCTCCCCCCCTTCATATCAGCTTTTTCCGCCTTCACATCACAGCCCCCTATTACATCAGAAGCTTCGTATCAGCTCCCTCCCTTCTTCACATCAGAGCTGCCTTTTTTTCACATCAGAAGCTCCCCCCCTTCATATCAGCTTTTTCCGCCTTCACATCACAGCCCCCTATTACATCAGAAGCTTCGTATCAGCTCCCTCCCTTCTTCACATCAGAGCTGCCTTTTTTTCACATCAGAAGCTCCCCCCCTTCATATCAGCTTTTTCCGCCTTCACATCACAGCCCCCTATTACATCAGAAGCTTCGTATCAGCTCCCTCCCTTCTTCACATCAGAGCTGCCTTTTTTTCACATCAGAAGCTCCCCCCCTTCATATCAGCTTTTTCCGCCTTCACATCACAGCCCCCTATTACATCAGAAGCTTCGTATCAGCTCCCTCCCTTCTTCACATCAGAGCTGCCTTTTTTTCACATCAGAAGCTCCCCCCCTTCATATCAGCTTTTTCCGCCTTCACATCACAGCCCCCTATTACATC